CCAACCAAAAAAGTTGATACTTTTTGGTTTGGTTTAGTTTTGGTTTTGAATTTTAAAAACCGATCAAATTTGGTTTGGTTTTGGTTTTAATCAGAAAAAAACCGAACCAAACTGACCATAGTAGTAGCTATTTCAAATTTATTATTACACCTATATATATGTATATTGTTATACAAAGTTTTAAAAAAATTATGGTAAATGTTAATAGTTTGCACGTTTAATATATTTCTTTACCTTTACATTCTAGTTTGATTGGTATTTTTCTTTTGTTTAGTGTAAGAATCCATTTCGTGTTAAAAATAACATATTTTTAATTGAGTCCTTAAATTATTCATTACTATTTGATTCAATTATCATCAATATATCTTGGTAAATAATAGATTTCTCAAAGGACAATTGATTTGATAGTGTTACATTGATAATGTGGTCGCAGGAATATGTGTTTGGTAGTGTATATCTTATATTTAAGAAAAAACCCGACAAATAACCAAAAAAACCGAAAATAGACATAAAATGAATCGAGAAACCGACTTAATTAGTGTGATTTGGTTCTAATATTTGAAAAACCGACTTACTTGGTTTGGTTTCTTCTAAGGAAAAAACCGATCCAAACCGAATCATGAACACCCCCTACTTGTATCTTTTGTATGACATGACAAGAACGATTATAATAATGTTTAGCAAATACATTTATGGTGACTTAATTTAAAGATATGACTACAGCCTTGAATACACTCTTTTATCATAGAAATACTTTATTGCATAAACGATTTTTTCATTCCTATACACTATTTGGAACTTTATTAACTTTAATGTCAATATTTAGCTAATTACCCGGCGTAAACAAGTTTTGTTTACAAAATATATACAATCCACCTTAAAAGACTTCAAAATCCATTATTTGTGCCTTCAATCAAAGGATTTAATTAAACTATTTTCCTTTTTTTTCTCCTCTCTCCGCTTTCTCTCCAGATCTTCCATTATTTTAAACTATTTCACTGATAAAATACTCATATTATTTTCGACGATGATGGGATTTTCTTAAGCGCAGCTTGAATCACCAAAGTGAAAAACTTCATTTCCTTAAGCGCAACTTCCTAGATTATCACAGTATGGAATTTTTTCACAATAAGTATTCTCAGTAATGCTATTTCTTGCATGATTTGCTGCCTCCGTTTATCACACATTCCGTTCTTTGGCTTTTTTCTTTTCTTCTTCTTTCATTGTGATGAATCGATTTAACATTGACTGGGCTTTCTCTTCATTACGCTCCATGGATGGTTCTGTGAATTGCGAAGAACTGAAATCCTATAGATTTTACAGTTGGGGGGGGGAAATTTTAAGTAAATTGAGAGCTAACTCCAATGTTTCACTTTGGAGCAGGGAGCTCCATCGACGGAATAGAGAATTCATACAATTTTCGTACATGATTTCTACACCATTAAATACAACTACCGTATCGTACAACTTATACAAATTTTATACAATAAGTCTTTTGTATATTTTGTATCTGGTTTACACATAGTAAAAATAAATTTCGTATAACTAATTATATAGCATACAACTTTATCTACTACTNCATGGGCTGACGTATAGCCAATTTGTCCAAAGGCATCATAGTCCGAAGGCATCATCCTCATAGCCTGAAGACACCATGTCATGGCCTAAGGATCTCTCAATACTGCACATCATTATTCAAAGGAGTCAAGGTTCAGAGGCACCATTCTCATGGCCCGAGGACATCATTTCATGGCCTGCGAATCTTCTATCTCATAATTCATGGCCTAGGACATCATAGTCTAAGGACGTTATCTGCACGGTCCAAAGACAATCTTTCATGGTCAAAAGGGAATTTGCATCATGTTTAAATTCTTGCAATAATCTATATACTCGCATGCATCGTATTTTAAGTTTGCAGGTAATCTAGGAGGTAAACGTTCTTCGAACAGGAGCAATCTTCGCTCCGGTTTCCGCTCATGCCATTTACACTTGGCCATAATGTATATCATGTCTTCTTCTTCTTCTTCTTTGAGTTTCAATCTGAAATTCAGCCAAAAACAAGTCTAATCTTCGCCAAAATACCCTCAAAATTGAGATATGAACTCCAAATAATATTCTCAATTGTTTGCAACAACATCCAATCCAAACAAATAATAGTTTTTGAAAACCCAAATTCAAATTCAAAAGCTTCAAAGCTTTTTAATGGCTGTTGTCAATGGTGGAATTGCTGCTCTCTTTTTCTTTGCTTTACATCACTGAAATTAGGGATTGGGAGATAGAGAGAGACGTAGAGAGAATTTCTAATTCTTTGCAACAACACCCAATTCAAACAAATAATATTTTTGAAAACCCAAATTCGAATTCCAAGCTTTAAAGTTTTTTAATGGTTGTAAATGGTGGAATTGTACTCTCTTTTCCTTTGCTCTACTTTACTGGATGGGATTGAGAGATAGAGAGACGTAGAGAGAGAAAGAGCGCAGGAGAAAGAGAGGCAGAGAGAGAGAGAGAGAGACGGAGAGAGAGAGCGCATGAGGGAGAGAATAAGGGTGAGAAATAATTGATTCCTAATATAATGGTATACTCATTTAATTCCTAAAGTGTATATAATTGGTAAATTTGTATATAGGAGATAATTAATTGAAACTTGAGTAAAAAGGGTAATAAAATTTCCAATAGTATATAGGTACGTAAAAATTGCATAAAATTGATCGCTAGCAAATGAGTCTAGGAGTCAAATGTCTTATTTGATATCTATTTTTTTTTAAGGGAGGTTTGAATCAATCACTCAAATCTAGCTAATTAAATGTATTTTTTTCAATTTCACAACTATTTCTTACCTTCTTACGAATAGTTTTGAATCATTTATAGTTTGTACAAATTGATAGGTTACATATGTATCCTTGATATGTTTTGATGATCTAACAAATTTACTATCAAGAACCAGATAAGGAACTTGTTACACATTCTCAAGACCTTAAGACCAACAAGGTTCTAGTTGGAGACATGGTTCAACTCTTCAGAGTCAAAGGAACAACGGAGGGAACAAATAGGTACTAGTTTCCGTGGTGACTGGACTAGTCAACCACTCCAGCTGTAAAGTTGCTGCCTGCACACGCAACAGTGCGAAAATAGTGCAGCAACCAACTTTATGGGGAATGACCTTTACCTACCTTGCTTACATCATTCAAGTGATGTCACAAATGAATTATTAACATCAAGCAAAGGTAAAACAAAACACTTTCACGTTCAAGAATTGATCTAGCATTCTCTCAAGTCATCCATCAATCTTGCAAGTGACTCTCTAGGGCATCAAGAGCAAAGAACAACATAGCCGAACCAGTTTCCAGTATTGAGTTACTACATGTCCTTAGTTGTGTTGTACCTTTGTTGAAGTTCTTTACTTGTAATTCCTACTTAGCTTAGCTAGAAGCATTGCGTAGGAAACCCTTTGTAAATCATAAACCCTTGTGTTTGTGTCTTGGCTAGAGTTAGTCGAGTTGTAAAGTCTATGTAATAGAGTTATTACAAGTTAATGAGAGATTAAGAGGTTAATTCCTAGGTTACAATAGGTTGTAACCTAAAGTTTGTTCAGTAGTAAAGTTGAAACCCTACAAGGATAGGTCGTGGTTTTTAATCCGATGAGCTGGGAATTTTCCACGTAAAATTCCTCTGTGTCATTTACTTACTGTAATGTGCATGTGTTCTATGAGAACTAATAGAGAATTTGGTTCTCTATATAATTTGGTGGACCTTTAAATTCTATTAATATCCTAAAGTCATCAAGACATTAACTTATAGATTCATGCCAATGATACTTTTACCATGATTCCATTTATTGCAATATTTGCCCCTAGCCGCCACCGCTAGCCATCATCATACAACCACCGCCGTCAATTACCTCCACCACCAGCCCCTTCCATGACCTGTCACTACTTAGTCGCAGAGCTACCTTTGGTGGAGGGGTTCCAACTAAATTCCCTTTGCTGAAACATTGCATTGTACAAAAAGGATAAAATATATACATATATACATACACACACTATACTAATACTAAAAGTGAAAAAAATCCACAATTAAAAAGTTGAATTACAGAATTACCCTTCTAACAATATCATATTTTTATTTATAATTATAATTAAAAAATATTTAAAAATAAATTTATGTTGTGTCTTTTATAATTGTGTTAACTAATTTTTAAAATAATTATTTGGCCATTAGAATACAAGTATTTATTTATAAATAAAAAGACGACGCCTTGAATTGAAGGGTTGTGTCTTTTAGATTAGCAAAATAACTTTTCACATGTGTTCCTTCACATTTCAAAATCAAGAGGTCGTTTCTATTAATTAAAAAAAAAAAACTAACGCTTTATAGTCCGTTTGTAACATTGTTACCACCAAAAGTTCCCACCAGTTGACTCATGAGGCAATCAGTAATTACTCTTTTATACTATATATTTTTTACATTTCAACTTTGTATTTTATAGGAAGAAGGTAATCAAGTTACATGATCTTTTCAATGATTTTTATCAAGTGAAGAGCAACATAACGAAAAAGGGACTAAACGCACGGTGTTAGTATTCTCCCCTCAATTTCTTATTTATTAAGACTCTCTTTCTTGAAGGGAGGAAAATATGTAAAAAAAAAATTGCCACTGCTAGATAGAAGTTGACTTCTAATGTACGTTACTACTTCTACGCTGCTTGACTTTCTGTAATGATACTACTCTTTCTCTTCTATTTTTCAAACCTTACCTATTTCAATAATCCCTTGTATCTTTGTGCATAAATTGGTGTGTAGAATTGTATATTTAGAGAAAAAACGGCAATGGTATTCTGTCCCCCCCCACCCCCAACCCCCCAAGTTCTGAAAACTAATAAAGCTCTTAAATGTTGCTCGAGTTTAGAATACATAACATGTGCAAGTTAGGTCCAGAAGGGACGGCCCAGTGGGTTTGGAAGGAGTTTTTCCCACGGGAGACGCGGGTTCGATCCCCCCTCAATGCCTTCTGGGTCAAAGCCTGTCGCACGAGGCTTGCCTAGTGCGGTTTACATCCCCTGTGTGGTTTGCAGGCTATTACACAGTGGGGAGTTTACCCAATGCGCACAGAGTGCTCACCACAGAGTGCTCACTCGAAGGGCAGAGGCTGTGGCAGAGGCTGTAGCGGCTGCGGGTTTTCCTGGGGTTCCAAAAAAAAAAAAAAAAGACATGTGCAAGTTAGTCACTTAAATGTAATGGATTAAGATAGAACATTATTGTCGGATCCATCAAATTATCAAAATGGCTAAACTATGTTTTTAGATGTCAAATTTGATGAGTTCGTATAGTCATGAAAAATAATTTTAATATTGTATTTCTGAAACTTTTTATATATTCCTAAGCTTTTGGCTTTTGAAGAGTCCACATCGTAATCTATCTATATATTTATATAAATTAAGTTGGTCTCAAAAGATGTGACGTAACACTCTCAAGCGTCAATCAATAATCCTCTTAATCGTACTTTATTATATTCCTTCCTATTCTTTTTGTTAATCCTCTTAATTGCACATTTTCAACTCGAAAATTATGTATTCGCAACTCTGTAATTCAAAGTTATGTTTAGTTTTTTGCATGGAAAGATTAACTTTATCTTGGCAGATGCATATGAGTGGAGTCATATAAATTTTATCTGGTTAAATTTTCATATGAAATATAACTTGACCAAAATAAAAGAGAGAACTTCATTTATAGCTCATCGGGCAAAATAAATTTCAACCGGTAGCCCACAAATTAACCCATACAACTTATAACCTAAAAATAATGACAAGCGCTAGCCGTCGCCTCACATCCCTATCTTTCTTCCTTACTGTCTTTCTTCTTCTCTCTCACGCCGTCAATTTTATGCCACACTCCTACTGTCCTTTTTGTTCTTCTCAATGTCATGATTGGTACTATTGCTTTTACTTCTTCCTTGCCTAACCAAAAACAAAATCACCCTCCCAAACAAGAACAACACTAACAAGAACAAGATTACTCACAAATCACTCACAACAACAATAANAATTTATAGTAATAATAAATATTATAATATACTTTAATTTTTTTATATATTTACATGTTGTAATATATACCTATATTAAATTAAAAGCCAATTACAATATTGGATTTAAAATATATATATAAGATACTCAAATTCATATATTTAAATTAATAACAATATATTATATGGTAATTTATAAGATATTTAAATTAGTTTTAAGTAAATCTTCCTACATATTTTATTAAAAGTTTCTTATTTGAAAAATGTAAGAAGTCCTAATATTTATAATTTTTAAAAGTAATTAATATAATTATAATACTTTACATGTTACTATTTAGGATATTCATATTACTATATCCAGTGTAAATATTACTTTTAAAGAGTAAAAAGGTTGATTAAAGTATTGTAAAAAATATTTTTAATGAAGATTCAACACAAAATGTTGATTTTTGTATCCTTTAAATCTATAGTTCACCTTGAAGAAAATTACATTTAATTTTTTTTAATATTTTAGGACTTTAAAATCAACTAAAATTTTGCTTATTAATTTTTTTATTTTATTTTAACTATGTAGGAGATACTAATATTTACTTTTTCTGACCCACTCATTGGCAGTGTTTAATTGAGTATGAAGTTTAAGAAAGAAGTTAATAATTTTGAAATTTATGGTCTAAACAAGCCATAGACATTTATGGAGCTATAAAATATTTTTATCAAAAAATATTAGAAATTTATGGGTTCAACATTCTCTTGCCTCCAAACACAACTAAAGAGTATAATAATTTTTTATAGCAATTAAGCAATAAAAATAATCAATAAATATGAGTTTGATTTCATGACAAAGCAAATGTGTGTAGTAGAGAAACACAAGATATGTTTATCCATTTAACTAAATAGGATCAATATTCTTCACTTCATAAACTTACATTTTTCCTTTTATTTTTATTTTACAACTCAATTATATATATTTATAATATTAAGTAATTTAATAAAAAAATTGTACTCATTAATATGAGGTACACGCGCAACGCGCGTACCCTAAAACTAGTACTATATTAAAAGCATGAAGGCATTTAATGAAATATTGTTAGTCTTTTTTGTCCTTTAATAATAAATTTTAGAGAGAACTTCATTTATAGCCCATCGGGCAAAATAAATTTCAACCGGTAGCCCACAAATTAACCCTTACAAGTTATAACCTAAAAATAATGACAAGCGCTAGTCGTCGCCTCACATCCTTATCTTTCTTCCTTACTGTCTTTCTTCTTCTCTCTCACGCCGTCAATTTTATGCCACACTCCTACTGTCCTTGTTGTTCTTCTCAATGTCATGATTGGTACCATTGCTTTTACTTCTTCCTTGCCTAACCAAAAACAAAATCACCCTCCCAAACAAGAACAACACTAACAAGAACAAGATTACTCACAAAATCACTCACAACAACAATAAGAGCAAAAACCCACTAAACTCACTAGATCTCCTTCTATTCTTCAACGCATCAAATCCATAAATTTCTATAACTATAGATCTCAAGAACCTGTTAAAGACTACAGCTTTGACCATCCCCATAATCAAGAAACCACTTTTGAACCACAAACACATTACATTTTCGAACCAGCTCCAGAACATAGTACTGTAGTACCAGAATCTACACACTATATTTTTTTTTCAATTTCAATTTTGTGCTGGTTTTTCTAAATCTCCATTAGTTTGTGTTTTGTGACATAATTAATTGATTGATTCACAACTTTTACTGATTTTAAATATTGTGGTTACCATTTTCGACGACTGTGAGGCCATGGATGCCGGTGTCCTCGTCGTTGAAGAAGCAACTCTGCCAACCACGACTCTCATGGCCTTGTCTTCTTTCTCTGATTTTCTCTTATAGTTTCTGTGAATATGAAATTAATATTTTGAAGATCTTTGCCTGAAACTTTAAAACTCTGGCAATCTTGTTACCATTTTCGGCCACTGTGAGGCCATGGATGTCGGTGGCTGGTCTCTTAATGAGAGGAAGATGAGAGGAGATAACTATGCATAAAGTTAAAATATATACAAATAGACTGTCACTATACAAAAATTATACAAAATAGACTATCATTATACAATTTGTATACAATAGATATACAAAAATAGACTGTCATTATGCATAAAATATACAAAATAAACTGTCACTATACAAAATAGATTGTCACTATACAAAAATATACAAAATTGACTGTTACTATACAAAAAATATACAAAATAGACTGTCACTATACAAAATAGGCTGTTACTATACAAAAAATATACAAAATAGACTGTCACTATACAAAATAGACTGCTACTATACAAAACCTATACAAAATAGACTGTCACTATGAAAAACATATACAAAAATAGAATGTTATTATACAAAAAATATACAAAATAGACATTTCGTATATGACATGCATTACATATTTCATTCAATTCTTAGCTAATATTATAGATCCAGAAGTACAAAATACAATTTAAAAAGGAAAAAATGAGTTGCTCTATCGTGCCAGGTAGGGGTTGAACCTGCGACCTTCAGCTTAGGAAATACATGCACTTGTGTTGTCATTCTCATTCCTTTCGGCTATTATATGCAATATGTTTGGGCCGAAGGGCCATTTTTTGTAAGTGATACAAAACATGGGCTATTAAAATTTTGAGGGGCTATAGAGGGTAGTTTTCTCAAAATAAAAAGTTCAAGAGTCAAAAATTAATCCTTATAAAGCAAAATATTGCAGGAGTAAGCTTAGTCGAAATTTTTAACTAATGTCCCTTTTTTCTGTCACGACCCAAATTCCGTTACAGGTCGTGATGGCGCCCAACTCCATGGTTAGGCAAGCCTAACAACTAGTGAGTTCTCAACTACTTTATTAGACATTCCCAGCCTTTACTTAACTTATATTTAAAACAGGCGATAATTAACGATTTCATAACAATAGAAATACAACCCAAAAATGATAGTCTACTAATGTGTGTACCAGGAACTCGTGTCACAAGTACTAGGGCAACTAGTAGAATATACAAAATAATTTAACTATCCTACTGTCTGAAACAGAATAGATAGTAATAACAAAAGAAGAGACTCTGGCATGCTGCTGAATGGCTCGCAGGGGCAGCTCACCGTGGAATCTCGGTCAAATTAGGAACACGGGCCGGACTGGTAGCTAGATGTACCTGCCTCAGATCCTGTACATTTAAGTACAGAAGCGTAGTATGAGTACATAAACAATATGTACCCGTTTATTATCCAGTCTAACCTCGAAGAAGTAGTGACGAGGGATCGACTTGACACTTACTAGGGTCAATAATAATGTAAAGTAAGTGCTAAGCTAAACATGGATGTCATGAATAAATAGCAGTGGGTAACAGGGAGTGATAGGTTCTTTCATAGATAATATTTCAGTGAACAATCCATATCTAAGGCATTTAAAACAGTTCAAACCACAGAAAGTACCACACATATAGCATGTACAAATAATGCCGAGGTCATACGGCCCGATCCAACATAAAAGTAAAGTGTGCACTACCGGAGGGTCGAACGGCGCGAACCATAGATGCATCTATTACCCCGCTCGCGAATCATATATGCGACGCTGTCAAATACAGATAAACATATCAGGCAATCAATCAATAATTTATCAGGAAAACAATTATCCACAGTAATGTCAAACTTCTCTTTAACGGTCAAGGAAATGATGTTTAACCTTTTAGAAATTCATTTGCCAAGTTTGATATGATTCACGTAATCTAATTTAACAATGAAGTTACAATTATGGGAAGTAAAACATGCTTTTGGGTCCTACACTACCCGTACTTAAGCATAATAGTAGCTACGCACGGACTCCCGTCACCTCGTGCGTGCATAGCCCCTACAAATAGCAGCACATATCCAATTAATTTACCTATGGGGACAATTCCCTCTTACAAGGTTAGAAAGGAGACTCACCTTGCTCCAAAGCTTACTTCCAATATCACGCGCTCAAACCCTCAATTCGGAGCTGAACAATCCAAAACTAATCAAACGGGGTAAGAACTAGTCAATACAAGCTCAAGAGTTCATATTCTAACTATTAAAGTAATTTTCCAACCCTTCCCTCAAGAATTTCTAAAATCCATCCCCGGGCCCACGTGCTCGGATTTCGGAAATTCTTGAGAGAAGTTGTTACCCATAACCTAAGGATCAAAATTATATAATTTTCACTCCATTTCATAACAAATTTCGCAGTTAAATCTTGTTTTCATCAATAATCCTCTTAATCGTACTTTATTATATCACTTCCTTTTCTTTCTGTTAATCCTCTTAATTGCACATTTTCAACTCGAAAATTATGTATTCACAACTTTATAATTCAAAGTTATGTTTAATTTTTTGCATGGAAAGATTAACTTTATCTTGGCAGATGCAATACGAGTGGAGTCATATAAATTTCATCTGGTCAAATTTTCATATGAAATATAACTTTGACCAAAATAAAAAGTTCAAGAGTCAAAAATAAATCCTTATAAAGCAAAATATTGCAGGCGTAAGCTTAGTCGAAACTTTTAACTAATGTCCCTTTTTTTCTGTCACGACCAAAATTCCGTTACAGGTCGTGATGGCGCCTAACTCCATGTTTAGGCAAGCCAAACCTAACAAGTGAGTTCTCAACTACTTTATTAAACATTCCCAGCCTTTACTTAACTTATATTTAAAACAGGCGATAATTAACGATTTCATAACAATAGAAATACAACCCAAAAATGATAGTCTACTAATGTGTGTGCCAGGAACTTGTGTCACAAGTACTAGGGCAACTAGAAGAATATACAAAAGAATGTAACTATCCTACTGTCTGAAACAGAATAGACAGTAATAACAAAAGAAGAGACTCTGGCATGCTGCTGAATGGCTCGCAGGGCAGCTCACCGTGGAATCTCGGTCAAATCAGGAACGCGCGTCAGACTGGTAGCTAGAAGTACCTGCCTCAGATCCTGTACATTTAAGTACAGAAGCGTAGTATGAGTACATAAACAATATGTACCCGTTAAGTATCCAGTCTAACCTCGAAGAAGTAGTGACGAGGGGTCGACTTGACACTTACTAGGGTCAATAATAATGTAAAGTAAGTGCTACGCTAAGCATGGATTTCATGAATAAATAGCAGCGGGTAACAGGGAGTGATAAGTTCTTTCATAGATAATATTTCAGTTAACAATCCATATTTAAGGCATTTAAAACAGTTCAAACCACAGAAAGTACCACACATACAGCATGCACAAATAATGCCGAGGTCGTACGGTCCGATCCAGCATAAAAGTAAAGTGTGCACCACCGGAGGGTCGAACGGCGCGAACCGTAGATGCATCTATTACCCCGCTCGCGAATCATACATGCGACGCGGTCAAACACAGATAAACATATCAGGCAATCAATTAATAATTTATCAGGAAAACAATTATCCACAGTAATATCAAACTTCTCTTTAACGGTCAAGGAAATGATGTTTAACCTTTTAGAAATTTATTTTCCAAGTTTGATATGATTCACGTAATCTAATTTAACAATGAAGTTACTATTATGGCAAGTAAAACATGCTTTTGGGTCCTACACTACCTGTACTTAAGCATAATAGTAGCTACGTACGGACTCCCGTTACCTCGTGCGTGCATAGCCCCCACAAATAGTAGGACATATCCAATTAATTTTACCTATGGGGACAATTCCCTCTTACAAGGTTAGAAAGGAGACTCACCTTGCTCCAAAGCTTACTTCCAATATCAAGAACGCGCTCAAACCCTCAATTCTGAGCCGAACGATCCAAAACTAATCAAACGGGGTAAGAACTAGTCAATACAAGCTCAAGAGTTCATATTCTAACTATTAAAGTAATTTTCCAACCCTAAATACAAGTTTCCTAAAATCCATCCCCGGGCCCACGTGCCCGGATTCCGGAAATTCTCGAGGGAAGTTGTTACCCATAACCTAAGGATCAAGATTATATGATTTTTACTCCATTTCATAACAAATTTCGTGGTTAAATCTTGTTTTCATCAAAACCCTAGGTTTTACTCTAATCCCATAATTTTTACAAATCATTAGGTGTTAATCTACCCTAAAACCAAGTATTAAACTCACATTAAGTAGGAGTAACTTACCTCACAATTGCTAGGTTGAAATACCCTCTTTGGAAGCTCCCAAATCGCCCAAATAATGAATGTAACATGTCAAAAATGACATATTCCCGTATTAAATGAAGGCACTACCTTCAGCGATTTCCGCACCTGTGGTTACGGGACCTCATCTGCAGTCTCACTTCTATGAGGGAAGGTCCGCATCTGCGGAATTGGATCGGCTTGACTGGGACCGCATCTGCGGTTCAGGGGATGCTTCTGCGGTTCCGCTTCTATGGAAGAGGATCCGCATCTGCGGTTCCTGGCTCCTCCCCCTTGGGCCGCACCTGCGAAGGGTTGACCGCTTCGGCGGTCTCGCACCTGCGGCTGGCTAACCGTTGGTGCGGTTATGACAGCAACCTGGAGCTTCAGCTCTTTCCAATTTTCCTAACTCAACTCGAGCCTCGTCCGACTGACGCTCAGGGCCCCTGGGGCCCCGCCCGAACATACCGGCAAGTTTAAAATCATGGAACGGACTTGCTCGAACCCTCGGAATGCCCAAAACAACGCTAATTCTAAGAATCGCCCCCTAAAACCAATTGAA